TACCTCTGTCATGTTCTTACTCTGTAGGTTCAGGCATGCAGATTCCAGCAGTTCTGCTTTTTCTGGGTCTCTTAACTGTCCCAAGCAGATCCCAGAACTCGGCTATTGAGCAGGTGAGTAGGAGGCAACACGCAGAGAGTACGGGAGATAGTTGGAGCAGGTAATTTAATTTTAGAGAATCTTACAGAAGGATTAAGCACTACCCTCCTAAGTTACTAGGATTTTATTTAGCAACATAATGAGACTAACTCCTGCTTTACCTAGATAAAACCACAGTACTTACATCAGGGGATGACCATGAGGCAGAAATAGTGGATTCCAATTTGAGTGCTCCCTTCAGCTTTACTGGGACACTTTAAAGTAAACTGTTCCTACACTCTCTATCAGTAGGATTAAGCCAGTATTTCTGTAGAGCATAAGAGAGAATCTGTAGACTGCTTGCTTTTGAAATGTTTATCACAACCGTGCCCGCCCTTGTAAACTGCAAATCTAACCAAAGTGCTCCCTGTACCTGCTAGAACTCTGCCACCGTTGATGGAGCGAACGCTGGCGAGGTCGAAGAGGAAGATCCGTTCTATAAGAGCCCTGTAAACAAGCTGGCAGCAGCAGTCTCCAACTTTGGCTATGACCTGTACCGTCAGCAATCGAGCCGGATAGCCACTGCCAACGTGCTCCTGTCTCCATTCAGCCTGGCTACTGCACTGTCTGGTCTCTCGCTTGGTGAGTTCTTGTCTCTTTTCCTCACGCGCCGTTTGCCTGGACAGGCCTTCCTTCATACCGGTGTCTTTGTTGTTGGCAGGGGCTGGAGAACGAACAGAAGATGTGATTTCTCGCGCTCTCTTCTATGACCTGCTTAACAAAGCTGAGGTCCACAGCACTTACAGTGACCTCCTGACCAGCGTGACTGGGCCAGAGAAGAGCATGAAAAGTGCCTCCCGTATCGTCTTGGAGAAAAGTAAAAGTCCTTCTTCTTTTCTATCAAATTTTACCTAGATAACTAGCAGCAGGTAGTACACACTGAATAACACCGCGCTAACAGCTTTGGCTCTGACAGACTTGAGCCAGGACACAGACAGTGCATGGAATGCTGTTGCTGCTCCAGAAAAAGCCTGGAAAGTTTGTGTGCACATAAACAGAAGGCCAGACTTACGCACACAAAGACGCTGCTGACAGAGCAGCTAACGTGCGGAAGACCTAGAAGAAACTTGCTGAGAATTTTGCCTTCGCTCTAGGTTTTCTGGCAGGTGTTGCTAACTTCCAGGAGCCACAGATCACATTTTCTATTTGTGATAGCATTCAGGCATATTCCTTTGCTTAATTAATTCCTTGCAGAACTCTTTGAAATGTCTGCTTTCAGCATGAATTAACAGCTGCTGAGAAAGCTAAGAGCTATCTTTTGGAACATGCTGGTTCCAAGAATCCAATAGGTTGAGTAAACTGTGCTCATAAGCAAGCTGGAGAAAGAAGAAAGACTGATGCAGGAATAGCTGTGTCCAAGCCTTCTGTTCTTATCTCCTTTCTTTACTTTTCAGAAGAGAGTTATCCCATACTCCAGCATGGGTGGCTATAGGATTTGGATCAGTTTCCTCCATGTGCCTTCAGTCATTCTTCAAAGCAGGTTTCTGTATACACACAGCCACAGATGTTTTATGAGAGAACTGCTGCTGGGCTCCGGATTGCAATCTGCTGCCTTGAGATTGTTTTGATAAGGGAGCTAGCTGCAATGTCAATGTTTTTGTTCCCCAGGACTGAGGGTGAAGCCTGGTTTTCACAGCCAACTAGAGAAGTCGTACAAGATGCGTCTGAGGGCATTAAGTGGCAATACCCAGTTAGACCTCCAAGAAATCAACAACTGGGTACGACAGCAGACAAAGGGAAGGATTATGCGGTTTATGAAGGACGTGCCCGCAGATGTCAGTATTCTCCTGGCTGGGGCTGCTTACTTCAAGGGTAAGAATGCCGTGTACTTGGTTACAGAGAAGGTCTTTTAAGCACGTGTTAGAAGAGGCGCGAGGGAATGCTGTCACTTCCAGCAGAGCAAACAGACTGCCAAAGAGACAGAGTCTGAGAAGAAAGTGTTTGAGAACGTTAAGTAATGAAGAAAAAAATGCACACTACCTGAACAGAAATAGTCCTCGAGGGAGGAACTATTACTCTTGGGAAGCTGAATCTTGACCTGTTTACAGTAAGAGACCAGAGAAGAAAGTTTAAGCTCCCAAAACTCCATGGCAAGAGACAGAATATTACCATTTCGGGAAGGCACAGCTTAAAGAGTGTACTGAGCCTTTTTACCACTGTAAAGGGAATGGAGGGAGATACCAGAGAGCTATTCTAGAACATGCTGAAAGCCAGTGTCCTCGAGACTTATTGCTTAGAGACAAGGAGCAAAATAAAGGGTGGGGAGAGAAGCACTTTATATGCATTGACACAATTGTTACCCTTTAAAATAGTTTTGTAATTACATAAGTAGACACCAACTTCCCAATAGCTACTCCACCCATACACTGGCTTGATTTTTTACTTCCCATTTAGCCAATTCTCAGATGAAAAGGAGGGGCCAAAGAGTGGCAGTAAATCAGTAGCTCAAATCAGTCTATTTCCATCTCTTATCACAATTCAGTCATGCCTCAACTCTTAAAGCACAAATACTGCACACAGAAAGTGCAAGATAACTCAGCCACGGACACAAGCTCAGTTTCATAGGGTATTATTCCAGAAAATCCTCCATTTTATCTTTTAAAAAACAGGGATATGGAAAACCAAGTTTGACACCAAGAAGACTGCCCTGAAAGACTTCCACCTGGATGAGGACAGAACTGTGCAGGTGTCCATGATGTCAGACCCCAAAGCCATACTGCGATACGGTTTTGACTCGGAACTCAACTGCAAGGTCAGAGAGCAAATATTGCACAAGGTCTCCTAAACCTACTGAGGAACAGGCTCAGCTACACTTACCTGTTAACCTGTTCCAGACAACAGCCTTGCTCCTCCCATCAGGCTAGTCTTGCAATCCCTATTTTGAAAGGCAATGTGTTGATTCTTAGAATATCCTATTTCTACACTGGCTATGTGACAAGCAGTCCAGAATTTAGGGAACACACAGGTCCTACTAGCTTGTGTTGTTGACTTAAAGTTGGGCAAGAAGGGCAGGGGACACTCCTCAAAACTTTTCCATCTCTACCTCTTTCAACAAATCTTCCACTGTAGCATGAGCTCAAAGGTGTTCCAGCTGAGAATCCCCCAAGGCAATACTGCAGTTCATTACAGGATTCAGGAGGTGAGGGAAGGCACTTGCCACGTAATAGCAGGGGTTGATGAAAGCCCAGGTGCCAGAGGGGTCAGGCAGCATCATGTCCAATAAAAGCCAACAGGGAAGAAGAACGAATCTTAAGTGGAAAGGCTGATCAGGCAGTTGAGATTCAGGCCTGTGCGTGGTATGGGATGGGTAAAACTGTTTCAGTACTGATGTGACCCTTTCTTATTTATAACTGGCCTTCCAGATTGCCCAGCTGCCACTGACAGAGGGAATCAGTGCCATGTTCTTCCTGCCTACGAAGGTGACCCAGAATATGACTCTGATTGAGGAAAGCCTTACTTCTGAGTTTGTCCATGATGTAGACAAGGAGCTGAAGACAGTCCACGCTGTGCTAAGCTTGCCCAAACTAAAGCTGAACTATGAAGAGGCACTTGGCAGCACGCTAAAGGAGACAAGTACGTACATCACACCCCCTCTACAGACTGCCAGGGCTCAAAGCAGTGGGCAAGTTGCTTCCTGCTCTCAGAAGAACATGAAACTGGTGGGTTATTAGTTAGGTCCTGCTGTCAGTCTGTAGAGATTTCACCAGCAACTAAATCACCTTGGTCCAGGACTCCTCAACTTTTTGTCACATCTTTCCACCAAGCTTATACAACGCTTCCGAGATTGAGAGGGAGAAGCTCAGTACAAACAAATGTAAGCTGCTTCTCCCTGATACCCCAAATAAACTCAACCAGAGCAGCTACGTGCCCTCCTGGATCACAGCGTTAGCAGTACTGCTCCCCCCTCTGCAATCTGTGCTTTCAGCTAATGGAGTTTTCTTTCTTTCTTTCTTCTAGGGCTCCAATCACTCTTCACATCACCTGATTTTACCAAGATTTCTGCCAAACCTATTAAGCTATCTCATGTGCAACACAAGGCAGTTCTGGAGCTTAGTGAAGATGGGGAAAGATCCACACCAAATCCTGGGGTGAACGCTGCTCGTCTGACCTTCCCCATAGAATATCACGTGGACAGACCTTTCCTTCTTATACTGCGAGATGATACCACTGGAACTCTCCTCTTCATTGGCAAGATCTTGGATCCCAGGAGCGTTTAGATCCCTTCACCACAATCTGCAATGGTAGGGCCCAAATGGAAAGGGTGGTATTGGGAGGGATACTGGCTCCCTGCTCTGCTGCACAAAGACACAACTTGCAAGTCTTATGCCTTCATGCTGCAATAAAAGAGCTTTTGCTATTAATCTCAGCAAGCCCCAGAATTCTCCCTTGAAAGATTGTCATCGCCTTCACACTCCCATTTTCCCCAGATGAGCCACAACGCAGCTCAGTTCTGTGTCCTGTATGCGAGCGTCACCTGGTGTACACTGCATTTTCCCCTATCCTGCCTTCCAACCTGACACCAGTTGTTTGTACTGAATCCCTCATCACTGACAGGTCTGCGCTGGTAGCCCTCCAAGTTCTGCAGTGGCCCCTCTTACAGCTTCTAAGTTCGCACTTCCCAGCCTGCTGCCTCACCCATTCCAACCATTTACGTTTCATGCTGGCAAGAAGTGCTTCATTAGCAATAAAAGGCAGTGTGGTCTGGCTGACTGCATGTTCAGAACCATCAGGGTACCACACCACATGGGAGAGTCACGCCCCTAGAAGCACACGCATACACAAGCACCTCAAACATTCGCTTCAAAGCCACATGTGGAAATTACACAACGGCATCTATTCCCACCATCCCACACACAGACCCCTCACGTTAGAATTGGTCATTTTATTTACAACAGCCTCGCTAAAGGGCATTTCAGGTTTCATTCAAGTTGTTGTAACACATGATTTTCCAGCTTGTACTACATGACTACCCTACCACATGAAACTTAGCTTTGATGAAAGATCACACTGCAGCTTCCTTTAACAGGGAAATTAAGTCCTCTGAAGGACGCTTTTGGGAAGCTCTGACAGACAGGTCTTCATCTCTTGTAGTTCCTGGACCTGAGCACTCCGAGGACCACAGTGCACTGACAAAATCTCCTCTGCTCTTTGAATCGTGGTCAGAGCTTCAGAAACTGCAAACCTGAAATAGGAAGAGAGTAAGAATAGAGTATACAAAACACTTAATCCAGCTCCTTGACTTGCACAACCTTTAACCCCTCCCCAACAAAAACCTAAACCTGCTCATGGGTACAGATCCTACCCTGCACTGCAGCTGCAGAGGGAGGATGCGGGGAAAGTAGTAAGGAGATGGACAAAAACTTAAACCATCATCCTTGAGTATAGGTACCCCCTCCTTCCTCACTGCAGCTCCTGCTAAAATTAATTCAGTTACAGGGAAGTGGTGTGAGAAGATTTTCAGAAGCAGTCAGGGGATTTGCTTGCCAAAAGAGGGCCAAGATAAAGCAAGAGGACTTTATTTCCTCCTTTGAAGAGATGTCAGCAACACTATACAACTGAGGTATAAACACCAAGGGTGACGCGTTGTCAAGATAAAACAACAGGACAGGGAATAAACGAAGCCAGGGAGAAGAAAAGAATAGGCAGGCACAAAGCAAAGCAATGGGTCTAAAAAGAGTCATGAGGTGTAACTGAACCCCACTGGGGTTAATGAACTTGTACTTGCATAATGGCCAACTTTTGTACCTGTGCCAGACTGCCCAGGGTCCTGCGAGACACCCTGCAAGGTGCCAAGGACCTCCTGGGATGATACTGTGTCAGAGACACAGAAGTGGTGCAGGGAAGGGACACAGAACGAAAGAAAATTTACCCGTTGAAGAGAATTTGTGCCAGCTTGAAAAGTTCATGACCTATTTCTACACTTGATGGCCCGTGATGCATTTCCACAATCTCAATACTCCTCTCCAGGTGTCTGGCTGCTTCCTGCCACTTCCCTGGTGGAAAAAACCAAACCAAAACAAAAAATGAGTCATGAGCAAATACTTTCTAGAGCTACTGACACCCAAAGAATCTGACAGCACTATGCAAAGTGTGATGAGCTACGTCCACGGCATTCTTGGGAGGCTGCTGACCTCAGAACCCAGGACAGGGAATACAGAAGAATGTAAGATCACGTTATTGTTCACTGGCTGCTGGGAACACAGTTTTGGCTAAAGTGGTCTTTCTGAGAGCCCTGCTGTCAAAACTAGAGAAATGCAGTAGAAGAGGAAGGGCTAGTCAGAGAAAAGGCTAGACATGTTAAATTCAAAGCTCATAAAACTAGAGATAATGATGAGATAATGCCATACCAAGAGTAGCATAGACCTGTGCCAGATGATCCTCCATCTCTCCCATCAGCAAATGCTCTGGAGACAAGAAGTTTCTGGCATCCATCTGACACTTCAGGAGCATTTTGATAGCTTGATCTGTGAAGCAGGGTATAAAATTCATCCTACTGGCCAGTCTCCAGCTTTCCATGAAATCAAATCAGTCCAATCTCATCTTTGCATCTTAGACAGCTAGATTTGGATTTGGTTAGGAGTCAACACTGACTTCATCTGCAACCCTGCTTATTCAAAGGCAGTGTTGGCCTGACTCACTCCAGGAAAGCAAGGCCTGGGAACACAAAACTCCAATGTTACCCTGAGCTCTTTTAGGTACTACAGAACAACGTGTGACTTAGATTAACACCCGGATCAGGGGGATAAAAAAACCTAAAGCTCAAGTCCCAAGGGACACCAGGCTGCATGCCAGAAGACCCCAAGTGCATAAGCAACAGTGCCACCTCATGGCTAGAACTACTCCTCCCAGTGTGTACTCAGCAGCTACTGACCTTAAAGCAGAAAGCTGAGCCTTACCAGCCTTCCCGGCTCTTAGCAGCTCTAAAGCTTTCTGGATTTGTTGCTGAAGGTCCCGTAAACGGCTCGACAGGCTCTCTCTGCTGACTGAGGTTGCACAAGCTTCACTTGAACAACAAAGCATGTCTTCCCCCTGTGGAAATCATCCCTGTGATCACTCCTGTTCATGTTCAACCCAAAGCTTACCCTCCATCTCCGTTACCTCTGCATTGCGTTATCGAGATGCTAAATTCCTCAGTTGCATTCATTAAACAAAGTGACTTGCTTGTAAATTACTATTAGCTTATTCAGTTTTGTGAGAAACTTCAGGCAATAGCTACGACTATGTGAGCTACAAATTAGGGCAAAGCAGGGGCACGCGGTACACAACCAATGTTCATACAAAGTACATACTGTGTTGACTTCTCCCCATCTAACCCAGCCTACACCCTTGTTTTCATTCACATCCTGTGAACTGCAGAGGGTGTGACTCTCTCTACACACAGCCCCTGTATGTACACCCTCTGTTCCACACCCCAGGCCTCCACTTTCTTTCCTAAATATCCCCCTTCTCCTAGTCCACAGCCCCAATATCCTAAAGTTCCCTCACCAAGTTCAAAGGGATTTAAACTTGCTGTTAAAGGCATTACTTCCCCTATAATGCTGGAAGACTGACATACAAGAACATTACAAGAAAGCTGCTAAAAACCCATGAGGTACTGCCTTGACTCTACAGGGGCTTTTTCGTTCTGAGCAGAGATCATGGACTGAAGTCTTTAACTCTTGACTTTCCCAGAGACCCGAACGTCACACATCCTGATAAGCTATACAGTCACAGCTATGGAAGAACTACCTGCATTGGAGCCTGGCAGCTAGGACAGCAGAATGAGTTTCTCACGGACGCCACACTCTTGTCATCAGACTCTAACTCATCAAGGCACGCCTGACAGCGACACTCAAAGAAATACTGACTGAGAAGCTGTTGTCTCTCAGCAACCCTCATCCTACATCGGTGAGGCCCTGCAAAAGGATGGCAAGGGTAGAAATCTCTGAACAGGTACAGTTCTTTACATCAGACTAAATCTTATAATTGAGACTAGATATAACAACTTTGGAGAGGACATAATTGGAGACCAAAAATGTAACACTGGGCTCAGGAGATAAAATCTTGCATTGGTATCTTTGATCAAGGCTCACGCATAAACAAAGACTCCAGTGACATTATACTGGGAATTATGATATTAATAGCAATCAGTTAGCATGCCAAGTAGAAGTGAAAAGATGTCTGTGCCTGGAGACAAACAGAGAGTTAATACTTACCGTAGCAATGGAAAATCTCTTGGCCGTTTGGGATTGGCTGTGATGCCCTGACAGTGGCAGC